TGCGAATACATTATTTCAGAATGATGAAACTGGAGAGGGAGGAGAGAGGGGAGGGAGGGGAGGGGAGAGGAGCGACATTCCAAGTATTTTTTTTAATTAAACTTAATAAAAGCGTGGAAACGGTGCAACGTGGAATCGCGTTTATTCAAACACGTCGCGTTTTTTAAATTATATACAGTGTTCAAAGGTTATATCGTTCTAGTAATATCATAAGATCGTGAAATTGGTGTCAAACTACTACTACTACTACTACTACTACTACTACTACTGCTACTGCTACTGCTACTGCTACTAATCGGCAATTATTATAAATGTATCACGGTTGTTTCTCTGCTCTCGATCGATTTATCCCCTTCGTTCATTCTCTGTTCACGTAGATCGACTCGATAACTCGTTCACGATTAAATATATCCCCTGACGAATCGACGAATCAAGATTAATTCGATCCAATTCTAAACTTGAAATATTATTATACAAATTTCTTCTATTCCCTCCTCGACCGAGCGAAAGAATGTAATTAAATGGCAGGTAAATTTGCAATTCGTATGTAAACTTTTTTTTTTTTTATTTTTCCACTTATTTCCAGACGACGAATGCAAAAATAAAAGAAGAAAAAAAAATTCTTTCTTGCAACAAATATCTTTCTATATATAAAAATATAACTTGTGTGTTTTAATTTATATTTATATCGCGTGTATTATCCTCTCCTCTGTATTTTGCTCAATACCACTTTCCACATTTTTTTATCGATCGATGATCTTTCTCCCTGCGTAAGCATACTCTCCAGGTAAGATGCAAATTGAAATGGAATTGAATCTCCACGATTCGCCATACCTCTCAGAAGGATCTCTCTGCGTTCTTCGTGGATTGGAGAGTTAAAAGTGTCCCGACTGCATATGCACGAGCAATTACGCGCGCATGAACCGGCCAATTAGACGGCTAAACGTTACGGTAATAGCCGAGCGATAAAAAAGGAAAAAAAAAAAAAAAAGTACAGAGAAACGTGATTTGCAAAAATTTCGCGGCGAGCGGTGACGCGATTTAATAGCAAGATTAATTGGCCTTGTGTGACGTGTTGCTCTTGTTATTACTATTGACACCAGTCTAGTTAACCATTATTTTGTTAATTTGTCTGTGAAATAAAATTTACTTGTTTGTATTTTAAAATATTAATATTTGCTTTTTTCGTTTCGAGAATGGGAATAAGATAGTTCGATAATTGTGCAATCTTGATAAATAAAATGTTAGATTGTGTAAAAGTTAATGCAAAATTAAATTATAAACTTATAAATCATATATTAAAAAAAAAAAATTTCAAATATCGGAAGAGACGCGAGAAATATTTTCGTTTCAGGGAATTCGAGAAATAATTGGGAATAATAATGTCACGAAAATGGTAACGAACATTTCGAAAGAATGAAAGTATTCTTTTTTAAAATGCATCGAGCAATCATCTTCTCAATTTTCCAAAAACCAATCACATTCCAAAAAAAAGGGGGGGGGGGGAAAGGAATCATCGCGCGAAAAATATCATTTTTCAAAATATCTATCCTTCGATCATCGTCGACTCGACTCGACTTCGAACTTTCTTCTCGCTTGGCTCCCGAGATCACCGGTGGCGAGAGGAAAAATGTGGATGGAAGGAAGGGAACAGCGAGAGGATGGAGAACACACTCACGCACAGAGAGACGGATGCACCTGTAACTCGCGCGGCCCGATCTCGATATTGAGAACTCGGCTTTAATGACAGCCACTCGTAATGCAGGATCACTCGTCCTTGCAACCTGGCCAGGATCCTTGCCCCTCGCGCCGCGTGTTGCGCCTCTCTCTCTCTCTCTCTCTCTCTTCTCCTTCGTTGCGTGTTCACCTGTGCTCTCGACTGCGTACAGCTCGTACAATTCCTCGTATCTCGAGCCGTGTGCACCTTACTGCTAATTATCACACTGGATCGAACGTAGATCTCTCGTGGATTAGACTTCGAAAACGTTGTTTTTCTTCGAGCTTGGGATGAAGTTTAACGTAACGTTTCTAATCAGACAACAGCAACATTTTGAAATTTTGTTACTTTCCATGGATCTGAGAAAGTGGTTTTTCTTTGAAGGGAACAGGTTTTCGAAAGTGTTGGATCATGGATTCAAAGTTCTTTGGAATCAAAATTTGAATAGAGAGATCTTTGCATCTCTAAAAATAAGCAGAATTTTTAAAATCCAGAAGTATTTCTTTCTATTTGTGTATAAGGATATGTGAACTTTACAATGCGATATTCTTTAAGTTTTAGATTAGAAAAATAAAATAAAATAAAATTGTATAATTATTGTGTAAATTCGCATTAAATTTCACTAGGATTATAACTTATCGAGTTTTGCATCGACGAACGTAAAGTAAAACGTGCATTTTTATTAAAGGCAAAGAAAAAAAAAAAGAAGAGGAAGAATAAATATTTTCATAACACAATCGAACGATATGTATTTAATTTCAAACTTTATAGATCAAAGATCACTCGATACTTAACTATAAAGTAAAATTTCTTGTACAACGATTTCGCAATTTTTATTCCACTCTAACATTTAATTGACTCGTTATCTTATCGTTTAATTGTCCTAATGATTGGTAACAGAATTTCTCCAATTCTGTAACCATCGTTCGTGAAATGAACGAACCAGTTCGACGAATGAAAGATTATGTACGTATGCTCGAGCGATAGTGACTTTCTAGTCTGACCAGTCACCATAAAACACGCTCGTAATGGCAACACTCGTGTTACATTTATACATAGATCTGTTCGTAAAAGAAATTTCGAATAGATTAATGTTTTCCAAGTGATTGCGATAATAACCGAGTTCCATCCGATAAGATTGGTGTTTCCATGTAAAATACGAATATCAATTTCTTTGTTTTTTTCTTTTTTCTTTTTTTTTTTTTTACGTATCAAAGAAACGGTGAAAATTAATCTCGCAGAAGATTTATTATTTCTGGATGATTCATTCTTTAAATAAGAAATCGTTACACTTCTCAAGATTATGATTTATGGATTTATGGAAAGCGATTAGTTTTTAATTTTTTTATCTTTTCATTTTCAAATACACAAGTAATCGAGGATTGGAAATAGGGAATGTCCTTGTAACGAAATGTTTATTTATCAAAATATTCCAGATCTTCTGCAACTCTCTCTCTCTCTCTCTTTTTATCCATTCCTTTACCTGCGATTCTTTCTCTCCTCTATGATACATTTCTAACGAAATTTGTTTTTATTTTTGATTTCAGGTGACGAACAGTACCGAGGCGCTGGAGGATCCAGCAGCGGAAGTCCTCCAGCGAGTCTGCTGGTGGTTCCTCAGCCTTTGACCGTGAAACCGTCTCATCCGTCGCACCTGAACCCCCACCTGGGTGGACCACACTCTCATCCGCCGAGAAAGTACCAGTGCAAGATGTGTCCACAGGTGAGCCCTTGAAAATTCGCTTGTTTTCGTTCGAATTTCACCAATCTACAATTTAAAAAATATTACTCGACACCAAAATGATAATAACGATACATTTATTCTAATAATAATCGCAACATTCTATGAATGAAATCTCCTCGAAATCAACTGGTACTTTCAACTATGTATATTTCCAAAAATATCTCTTTCGTCTTTCTTCGTGTCTCCAAAACTTTGCCTTTGAAAAACTACGATTGCCAGGATCCCGTCTCGAGAGAAAATTCTCATGGAAGATAAAAAAACGAAAAAGAAAGGGGGGGAGGGGTAGGGGAGGGAAATGCGGAAAAGCATGGGGAAAGAAGGGAATCGACAACAGAGTCAAGGGTGCAATTAAACTGTAACTGGACATTTTCTCCTGTCCTGGAGCCGATAATGGGGTCGTTTTATGGCGCTTCAACCCTTTACGGTGTCCCTTCAAGCCTCTCGTACGCACGGTGAGTGGCTGATTTTTACCGCAGGTACTCGCGAACCAACCAACGATTCAACAAAGCCACGAGGGTTATTCGCCTCTCGCCACTGTTGTAAAACACCGGCCATTCAGCTGACAACCACTTTCCCCCTCCTCCTCCATCACCACCTCCGCCTCCACCCCCCCCGCTTCTGGTGCAACACGCCGTCCAAACGCGGAGAGGCATCCCCCTCCTACCTTTCCCTCTTTCTAATTTACTCCCTTCCCCTGTTATTCCTCTTCCCACCAGG